ATGTCTTGTGTGGAGAGAATTCTGTTAGTGTCTATGTGTAAATCATCCCTGATGTGTCAGTAACAGCTACAGACCAATCAATGGTCCCCTGGAGGATAAAGAGTTTATTAAAAACTTGTATCAACTCTCATCAGGAAGGCTTCCAAGATCCAAACAAAATGTTCCATTTCCTCTACATGGGCATGTCTGGGTGGACGGCAGATCCCGAAGAGCTGAGCTAATGGGGAGGGTGGGTGTAATACCATATCGTAATGACAGACAAGAGCGGATTAAGAGGGAATGTTGATGGACACGATGGTACAGATGAGTGACGGTATGGTGTGGAGGAGAGATTCAACGTGAGGGCGCGATAGGGGTGGGTTAAGATGTTATGTGTGGTTGAAGTATGGGCAGGGGACAGGTCTGAGGGGTTCAACTTGGCCATCCCTGCACGGCTTCATATCAATCGTCGGGAAGACAAACCCGATCAGGTTATTATTTATCCCCATACAGCCTAGCCCTTTCTCAGTTTATCCACACTGCAACATCCTTCACAGGTCTTTACTTGTGTCCGGCACGGCACTCAACAACATTCCTCCACATGGGCTTCATCATCATGTCTTCCTCCAGCTGGATCCCACAGAACAATCCAGTATGCCAATCCCCCCCGGCAACAATAGTATCTGTTCATAAACCTCAAATCTTCTCTTGTTCCCCGGATGGCAGAAACATGAATGCATCGGTAATACAACACCAATGTCAAAGTCACTTTGAGGATTCCTATGAACAAGCTGGCAGACAAGCCATAAAGTGATGGAGCTCATTGCAGCAAGTATCAACTGACTCTGCTCCCCTCAAACAAAGACAGCAAGCAGGCAAACATGGAAGAAGAACAGAATTGGTCTAAACATGTCAAACCAATCACAAAGAAGCACAAAACTTAATATTTAAGCTATCAAATAAATTAAAAAATGCAGTGCAGCAGGCTGGTTTTGAATCGTTTGTGTGGCTGTTACATGCTTTGATGTTAATCCCATCTTCACCATCAACACTCTTACCTTTCTTTGTGGGCTCTGGCATCTTGAGCCTCGTCCCAAGAAAAAAAGCGTCAAGGAATCAAAAGGTGCAGGTAGATATTGTTTGTGCCTTTAGAGTATTGTGACTCTACAGGAAGCCAGGTAAGATGTGATGGCCCTCTTGTCCAGGAGGGAGCGAGATGATGATTGGACTGTAGAAGAACAAAAACCTCTGGGACCCCTTGGACCAGAGTGATGGGAGATGTGGAGGGCTCAGGGATACAGTTTGGAAATCTCACTGGGGGAGGAGAGGAGGACCAGGGACAGATCCAGGGGGACAGGCTTTCAGGCCTTATATAGAGAGGTGGCATGCTCCTCCTCTCCTCTGTAGTTGATGGAGCTGCCCTGTCCTACACTAAATGTTGCATCACGGTCCCCTACCCACTGGCTGCTGCGCCAACTTTAGATGAGAAGCAACAGCATTGTTATATTTACTAGACTTTGGCTTTAGGACTCCTTTTACATTTATGGTTTAGAAATTATGCATTTCATTTTGCATTGACTTGGTCCAATTTCTTAGTTTTGTAGCTAGAGCAATACAACTTAATTTCAAAATATTCTGTGTTCTCCAAAGCTCAGATTTTGTCAACATTTATATGGCTGGGTATACTTTTATTAAATTATTCAATATATTCTGGCCTGTTTGACTTAAAGGTCCCGTGTGTCACATTAAGGAGGATCTATTGGCAGAAATGGGATATAATATTCATCGGTATGTTTTCATTACAGTATATTCATGAAAATAAGAATCATTCTGTTTTTGTTATCTTAGACTGAGTCCTTTTTATCTACAGAGGGAGAGGGTCCTCTTCAGTGAAGTTTCTCCTACCTGTACAGTAGCCGAGAACGGACAAAACTCTCCTTCACGCTTGGTTGAGTCAAGGGGTTTAGCTGGCTGCAATCTGCAATCTTACCACTAGATGTCATTAAATCCGGCACACTGATCCTTTATAGAAATATATACATATAGACATTTTGGAAAACTATGCTTATTTGCTTTCTTGAGAGTTATATGAGAAGTTCCACCTTCATATCTGTCCAGCCAGCAACTGGTTAGCTTAGCTTAGCGCAAATACTGGAAACAGGGGAGAACAGCTAGCTTGGCTCTGTACAAAGGTAACATAATCTTCCTTTAAGCACCTCTAAAGCCCACTAATAAACATGTTATATCTCATTAGTTTACACAAAATAAAAATGTCACCATTGCTCCCAGCCAAGAAATAGTCATGTAACCCCCCATAAAACCACAATGTATGATTTTTATGCTTTTATTTTTACAACAAATAAGATATAACGTGTAAATTAGAGAGCTTTAAAGGTGCCCGTCAGTGGATTTTGTTGCCATTCGATGAGCAAGGCTAAATATTTCTTTGTTCCTATTTGCTAGGCTGAGCAAACTAAATGCTTGCTTTAACATGACAATGGTGTCAATCTTCTCATCTAACACTCAGCAAGAAATCAACAAAACTGCAGGAGTATTCATTTAAAGCTAGAGTTGTCATCATTACTTTCAGATTTCCCCCTCAGTATCAGAGTGAGGGTTGTCAGCGGGCCAATCAGAGGTGAGCATACTTATTGCATTGCAGAAGTAGGTGAAGAAGGAGGAGACTGGCAAATCAGGAGGTGGGATATAAAAGGGAGAGGTGTCGTCATTGTCACAGGTCTGAGGCTGATGTAATACTCTCCGACAATCCCACGTGACATACCTACATATTCAGAAAATCTGTAGATTTATCATAAAATAGAAGTTTGAGATGACATGCAGTGACATGATGCCAGATTCCAGGTATCAGTTTAATCCAGGGGGAATGCTGTCCAAGAACAGCCGGCTTTCCAACCTGGCAAATAAATACTGTGGAGATGCCTGGGCAGTGGATATATGGCCTATACTTAGAAAGCTGTCATAAACCCTGACATTTGACATGTGTATCTGACATGAAAAGAGGGTTTCATTGTGAATTATGTCACTGATGTGGCTGCTTTAGTCCTAATGAATCTTTTTAGCACGTCAAACACAAGTGATAAGTCCGCTGTGGTCTCTGATAAGGTCGCAAAGATTAAACAACCAGGCTGAAAGCTGCTGGTTTTACGAGCAACAACAAGCCTGCTGCTTTTTTAACCAAACACACTGAAGTGTCTTTATGTGTACAGTACCAAGCTCCTCCAGAGAATCTAACATCATAACCACTTGAGCATGTTAATGATCTCAACACGAGAGTGCACTTAAAACATGCACAATTAATTCCTCAGACGACCCAACAGGACAGTCAAGACAAAGCACAGCTCTATTTTTGGCTCATTGTCTGGGCACAGGAATTCAGCTTATACTTAAATCGACCGTCAGAAGTGTACCATCATTACTCAGACAATCGCATACGGGGAAATCTTTTAAATTAGTCTCTGTGATCTATACTGCGAGTCGACACATATCATATAATGTGGAAGCTTTTAATTAAGAACATATTCTTTTCTATAAACGACTCTTTTGGTAATTAAGCTCAAAGTATGTGGCCTTTCTTGGTAACAGACACCCGTAGCTCAGTTAGCCCATTTATAACCTGGAGTGGGCTCCAGCAGTAAATACTAGGCTTAAGGAAGTATCATGTGGGTCCGCTACAAAGAGCACAAAACCATTTGGTACTGTCCGGGATGGTCGATAGTTCACATCACAGAGGCGATTTAGCCATGAGGTCACACCACACAGGAAAGGAAAAAGAAGAAGCAGGAGGCTTTGAGATGGACTACACTGACACCCTCTGGTTCCTAACAGCCATCAAAAATAAAGGAAAACACATGCACGTACACACCTGTCAACAGGTCAAGAGGCATATTAGGCTGCTGCATTACTCTTTTCTCTGAGGGGAAAACAACATATTCTTGCTGATATAGTAGATATTTTCAGGGTGAGGCTCAGTATTGTTCAGGAAATCTACTTAATTCATGGAAAAACAACATTTTAGTGTGAAGAGAAAATGTTATTGGCAGAAATCTAGAAAAATTGGGAACTTGTGATGAAAGAACAACTCAGATATTTTACTTAATATGTTGGGCAGCAATAATACGATGTGTCTGGTGGAAAATTACTGATTGTGGATTTTTATGACATTTATGTCACTGATGGTAACGTACGCCCTATTGGGGAACTAGTATTGTCCTTCTTTTTTTTCTCATTGTAATATTGATGTTGTGTCATGTTTAATTCACCACAACTGATGTTATCATTTACTTCACCAACCTTCACATCACTGGTGGACTGCAGGTGTATCTGGTACAATAAAAGTATTGTGCATTGTCCCCCTTCAACAATAATAAAAATACAATAAAATGATGACGCCACTGTCAGAGTAAAATATTTTGATTTAATTATTTAGTGTTATTTACACAACAAACTCAATGCATGTACAAACTTCAAACTGAGTGATTTGTCACACTAATAGTAGAAACATGTTGGAAATGAAAGTCAGACCTTCTAGATAAAAAAAAATAAAAAAGCACATTTAGGGTTTTGCTAACATTTTATGTTAGCAAAACATACACATAGTCACCATTAACTATCTGCTTATTAGCATGCATATTAGTATTATACTGGCTCTTTATTAGTTATTATAAAGCATGTATCAATGCCTTATTCTGCATGACCATATTCTACAACTATCATTAATTAAGAGTTTTTCCCCAACTATCTTCAAATTACTGCTCACTGATAGTGAGTAAGAAAGTTGTTGTATGTTGAATTATGACAGTATTGAGGACAGTATTAACACTTGTAGATTTGTGTTTTCTTACATAAGAATAAGCACATTTATTGGTTTTTATTAAGAGAGAATGTGTATACTTATGGTATTACCACCTTATAAGGCCCATACGGATATTGTTAATTCATGTACAACAACTTACTATCAATAAGCAGTAATTAGGAAGTTATTGAGGGAAAACGCTTAGATAATGGCCTAGCTGTTAAATAGGGTCATACAAGATAAGACATTCAATAGTGCTTTATATGTTATATGCTGCTAATATCCATGCTAATAAGCCTCCAGTTAATGGTTAATATGTGTACCTTCATATAAAGTCTTACCAGTGTTTTATATGAGATGATATGAGCTGCACAAAATTCCGCCTACATTACGAATCTCCTCGATGACACCTCTGCAGTAACATCAGGGTGTCTCGGCCAAACTGGTAGGTGAGCTTCTTCTTCACCTTGAAGATCTCTCCAGACCGGGCGTAGTTCCTGAGGGCACGTGACATCTTCTGGTAAGTCATTGGCCTCTTGTTGCCCTTTCTCTGCCCCCAGAGGGCCGCCACCTGGTCCTTGTTCGTGGAGGAGAAGCGGAAGACACCGGCGGCTGCTGGCACCCAGTACACACAGTGGGCCATGTTGGGATCCTCCAACATCTCAAACAGGAAGTGAAAGAGTCGCACCTTTCTACCTGCAACCATTAAGCAAACAGTAAGTGGCATGATGAAGACTTAACAGAGGTTTAAAATAGTGATGGCACTTTTTATGGAGCCAGATTATTTGGCTCAGCTCAGCAATAACGGCTCTTTTGGCTCCCGAACAGCTCTTCATTTAGTACTACTTTTATAATTCAGCCAGATTTAGCAATATTTTGACCTACGATTGGTATGTGCGCACATATATCACTTAAATTATTCAATGTACTACAATATACACTACAGTATATGTATATATATTGTTTTGTATGTTGGCGACTAATTAAAGAAAGAAAAAAGAAAATGGCCGCTCTGATAATTTACTTGAAGGAGCTGACTCGTTCATGAACGACATCACAAATTTAAAAGAGGATTTAGGGAATATAATGGCAGCTGTGCCACACTGAAACAGCAAGTGTTGGTTACGGTTAATCATTTCCTTAAATAAAACAATTCCCAGAAAATCTCTTCAATAATGTGGCGCCATTTAGAGGAGAGAGTAAAGCTGTAAACACTGCGGTTATCTGATAGATATGTAAAAACAGCTATTAAGCTAAGCCATGCACAGCTCCATTGTTTTTTACAGTAAAGGGAAGGTCTCTTATTTGCTCTCTTGGTATTGTTTCCCTTAGGCAACTAGCAACCGGGCCAATAACAGTATCTAGTGACCAAAAAAAGGAGAACTTACCACTCCCCACTGGTGTGGGTTTGGTTGGTTGTCTTGTTGATACAAAGTTTGGCAGTGACCCACGCTCACACAATGTTGCTGTTGTGTTTTGGCTCAGAGTTGGTTGGCCATCGTGTGCCAGCAAAGGCTGAAGTGCAGGTTTGATATTCTTTGATCAAGGAAATGATGGAGAAAAATAAAGAATATCAACCGTTTGCAAAATACAAAACAGCTCTAAAAGCCATGTGCGCATTTTATTGCATGTAGTATGCAAGTGTCTTGTGTATACTAAAAGAACATTTTAAGGCTTACGAGTGGCTCATAACACATCCAGCGCTGCTCACATGATTCCTTGTCTGCAGTCCAGTGCACCTTATCCACTATAAAAAGCAAAAAGTACTCAAAGATTAAGAGCAAATTAGCCTTTAAGTATTATAATTTGTATTTTTTCTGTCTTTTTTCTTACCATTTTCTCCAGTGGTTTGTTTGTAGTACTCTTCCAGGAACTCTAAGATCACCTCCAAATCCGACTGAGTCTCCTGGAAAGAATTCTGATAAAGATAAATAAATCAAAATCAGCCTTGAATATTGCATAATTTTTTCGCATTTTTCCTTGAAGATGTTTTAAGGAAATTCCAGTGTCATCCTTGCAATCAGTCTACTATTTACCATCACCGATGAGGTTGATTCTAATGCAGTACAGTCCTTGCAGTTTGGGAGAATTTCACAAAACTGACTTTGAGACACTCAAGTACCCTGACTCTTATTATACCCCCCACAGGAACGGGCTTTCTGCATAACACCAGACGTTTTCTACACCCCGGACTCACAGGAACAATGACCTCCATCCCACAAAGCCCCAACACCAGCACCAGTCAACCCATCAACAAAGCCTCCCAGCACTGACCACATCCTCCCCGCTGAACCAGATAAGACCTGGCCTGGAGGCAGCATCTATACAAAATGCTCTCTTTTCAGGAAAAACACACTTGCTACCATATTTTTCCTCACAGGATGTGTCTTAATTTCAGATTTTGTAGCGTGATGGTTGTAATATTTCACTACAATGGAGACGGTGCCAAATCTTTCAGCACAGTCTTTATGTTTTTGTGTTTTCTTGTTTGCACAAAGGACGAGAGTGTGGCTACAGTTAGTTATCAAGTCAGTAAAACCAAACACAAGTGAGAGTATACGGATTGATTTATTGGTTGCATTCAAAAGATTACAACAAATTCTAAAATAAAAAAAAATTGTTGAATAAAAAAACATTTACTTTACATACATAAATATAATAATTGTACAAACATCATTTTTCTTTAATACATTTATCAAGAAAATTGTCAAGATTTACGTGTGATTACACAGAATGCTTATTACTGGTTGCTTGTTGTAAAAACAGGAGCCATAAACAACTTTTAAATAAAATCTTTATTACTTTTACCACTGTGTTATACACTAGAGTAAAATCAGTGTGTCTATAGTGTTTGTACATCCTATATTTTTAACATTTTGGGGTATATTTTACATAATGAAGTTGGTATCCTCTACATTAGAAAATATATGTAGGGCTAAGTACAAAAATGTGTTTTACTGATTGAACCTTTTTAAATCAATTACTTTTTAAAGATAACATTTAACTCTTTAGATTCTTAAATCTTCAAGTCTTCAATCATATTTAAGTAGGCCTAGCATCAGTGCTAGCATCAGCTGCATGTCAAATAAAACTAGATTTTGTTAGTTAAAATGTGATCAATTTTGATAATTTTCTTACTCAGATTTTGTAGTTTCAAAGTATTTATAATTATTTACACATTATCCTTTAAGTATAATATATAACACGTTTGAAGTGTAGAAATCCACAAAGAAAAATTTTTATGTAAACATAATAAATTATTACAAGACATGTAACAACATTCACTTGGTCTATATTGACTAAATATAGACCCAGAAGGTTTGGCAGCAGAAATAAGAAAGAACTGTTAAGAACCTGTTAATTTGCTCTCAGATCTTAAATAGATTTTAATTTTTAATTAGTTTTTTATTAAATGCAAGCATGCTGACTGGAAATGTCCACCCATTACACTATCTTTAAAGATGTGCTGGCATTGGCTGCGTTTTTCTCATTTACAGAATTTCCTCCCTCATATTTTTAGTATTTACAGATTCATTTATTGTAGTATCTCTATATGGAACACAAAATGCTTAAATAGGAGTGTTTAAACTGAAGAGTGTCACTGTTTTTTGGACCCAGAAAGTGTCAGAGCAGAAAAAAAACAGTCTTTGAAAGCCTTTTCAAACTTTTAAGAGATTTTTTCCTTTCTGTGATCAAACTCAGAGTTTGGTTATGCTGTGTGAAGTGAAGCTGGAGGCCAGGTCATAGTCTTCCTGCAGCTGGTAGTGTCCGTACCAGCCGTGCCAGTCTGCCGCTGCAGAGCCGCAGTAGCTCTGTTCAGCTGGGTTCTGCTGCCGGGTGTGGACCTCCTCTGGTGCAGGGTGGCAGGGCAGGTGCACTGGCACCTGGGAAGACCCAAGCCTGTGCAGGATGTCTGGGTTGAACTGGTAAGTAAGTTTGCGTCTCACTTTCATGATCTCACCGGTGCGGCTGTAGTTCCTCAGAGCTCTTGCCATCTTCTGATAGGTCATGGTCTTGCGGTTGCCCTTGCGTTGGCCCCAGCACTCTGCCAGCTTCTCCTTGTTCTTGGAGATAAAGTGGAAGGTGCCGCTGCCACTGTCTGTCCACTGGATTGAGTCGCCCATGTTGGGGTCATTCAGAGCCTCATGAAGGTATTCATAAAGTCTGAGCTTCTTACGACCTGAGGAGATTGAATTGGTCTTGGTTTAGTGATTAAAGGAAGAAAAAAAAGTCATTTAAAAAATAATTTAACCGTTTTACCTTTGCTGTTCCTCTGTGGTGGTAAGATTGAGTAGAAGTGAGGTGATTCATTTTGTACAGAGTGACCCAAGGAGACATCAGGGATGACCTGAGGCCAAGACTGCTGCTGAAAGAAAAATAATATCCTTCTATATCTTTTCCTTCGTTTTCAGACACACAAACAAAGAATTGATTTTCTAATATACTTACAGCAACGTCATTCCAGTCATATGCAGTAGGTGTTACATCAGACGGGTGTGTGACGAGGCAGCAGGAGATCTGACACTGCAGCGATGGCTGCTGGGTACCCAGAGTCTCATAATATGGGCAATCTGAAAAGAAAAAAGGTTGATAAATTCCAACAAATTCAAGTATGAAATACATTTCTTAAAGTGATAAAATCAATCAAAATTACTGTCTTTACATAATGGAAGAGAGGGAAATTGTAGATTTCTAAGCATAAAATCATGCATTAAAAGGGAATAAATATGAAATTAATATAGGAGAAGTTTTATAATTATTTATTTAATTTAAAGATTTCCGAGAGATTTACTGTACCTGAATCGTAATAGGAATTACTTGAATGCTGTTGAATCACATCAATTGCATCCTGGAAGTGTTGGTTGATGTCGTTGTCCAAGGTGGGCTAGAATAGATAGACACAGGGGGGGAAAACATTAACCTACTCCCTTAACTTTTTACTGTAAAATAAGTACAAAAAATAAGAACGTGAGACCAATTCTTCCAAAATAACTGTAATAAAAATTTAATCAATGTTTAGCCTCCCTCCAACTCACCATCTTGTAAGTCTGAGTGCTGCCTTCAGTCGAGGTCATTTCTGTCCTAAAAGGTGAACACTGCTACAGTAGTGCAGGTGTACAGTGTTTGGACAGGTATATATATGTTGCAGACCTCCAATACCTGTTCACTATTCATCCAGGTAGAGAGGCCGGGCAATTTAAATGTGTCGAACGTCACGAAGTACTGCAGCACTACACTTCTTCTTTTTTTGGAAGAACAGATCAGATACACATCTGAGCATCACACACTCTCTCATAGTGGGGATCACAATCCAAGAACAAGAAAAACCTCTTTTATTGCACACTTGATCCAGGAATATCACTAATTCTAGGCCTGACCTGAGAATTTGCATACCGGGCGAGATACGTGTTGAATAATCTATATTTGGTTACTGTCCAGTAATGCGCTTTTCTGTAAATTTAAATTTGATCCTATAGAACTGCAGGAAATGTTTGAGTGTGTTCATTTGTTTAAAGTAAAGTGAATGCATATTTGCATAAAAAGTCATTTTTAAATGAGCAATGGTTAACCATCAACTTAAATAAATCAAAGGATTTTTAATAACTTTTCACTGCTAATAAAAATATACAAATGTTAATTTTATGTTCCACTTTAATGTAAAATGCCAAAATTATCTCATACTATACTTTTTCAAGTGTCATTTAATATAATAGTATCTATTTTTTAAATCTGACAAAATTATAATAATGCATATGTATATAAATATATAATATATATATATATATACATATTATATATGTTTTATTGTCCAAAGGAAAATATTCACTCATAAGCAACATTGAAAAGCTTTTGCATCCCTCATAAAAAATCCTCTCAGATCTTATAAACAACAAACTTTGTTCCTCTTCTCTTTTTTTTTTTTTTTACAGCATTTGTTTATCACTCAGGGTTAAAGAGACAACTATTTTTTTTGCATTTACATTTTAAATTTGTAATGCATGCTTGGACTTTAACAGAAGTGTATTGTACTGTACTTGAAAGATGCATTTAAAAACATTTTAAAAGCATCTGTTGTCATTTGTTGGGGTCAGACAAGCTCAGCACTCCACAGGTGTGTAAGAGCCAAAATAAAATAGTGACTAAAAAGTGGTGACTATTTGAATTTCCGATTGACCAGAATGCCATAAATACATCAGCTTCAGATAAATGTGATTGTAAAGGTTAATGGTTAATAATGTGGTGATCACTGTTAAACCCTGCCTGCGCTTTTTTTCCCCTCAAAGCCAACCCTACTGTTCAAATAAACACAGGCTTTTTGAGAAGTTCATTTATCTTAGGCGTGCAGTTTTAAATATCAACTGACTTGCTCCTGAAGTTCCCCTTTCAGTCTGGGTGAGTGTGGTGGCAGTCAGGCATAAACACTGAACTGGAATCATCATGGAAACAAAGAAAATGGAGATGCGGAGATTATAGCAAAGTGAAAAGTAACATTGTTAGATTGCATGAGCTGACTCCAGATGCATCTGATCTGATCATTATTCTATAGTATAAATTTTCCCATCAGGAAAGAAAAACAACTTGTCACAGTAAATTACCATATTGCGTGTGCGTTGGCTTGCAGGGGAGGAAGGAGTGTCTGTGTGTCCAAGCATGCAAATATGCATGTGTGTGCATGTGAGATGTGTGTTTGTGTGTGTGTTTCCTGCCTCTGCAGCACGCTGATAAAAACACAGAACCACAAACCTCATCCTCTCGCCTACTCCGTCTTTCCCTCTTTCCATTCAGGGTGAAACTTCTGTCAAATCAACTCCATAAATTAAAGACCACAACCTGCCGGGCTGCAGCTGAGGCCTGACAGCTGTGTGCTGGTGCTGGCACTGTGCGGGATGCAGAGCTGGCTCCATTAGGTTGGGCTTTGGGGGTTTTAAAAAAGTAGTTTTGAACTGTTTTATGTGCTCTGTTCGTTAGAATTGTACAATCTCTTGTCATCATTATTCATAGAGATCTTTATCACTATTTGATCTCTGAACAAGGAAGTGATGTTTGCTCTTCTTTTAATGGTTGTTGTACTTCTTTTTGAGTTCACACTATTCTGTTCTCTTCTTTTCTATCCCATCAGTTATTAATCCCATCACTAACCTGCTATTGAGGGATGAGATTGATACAAAGTGCCATTCTTTGTAGATTCCCTTACTGATTCATGATTCCACTTTTTTGAGTGGAAAAGTTGGCCTACACAACAGTTTTATTATCCCCAAGTCTGAACACTGTGTAGAAACAGAGTACAGTTATAGTAGTTTGATTTCTATCTATCTAGTCTAATCTATCTAGTCTACATCTATCTATCTATCTATCTATCTATCTATCTATCTATCTATCTATTTATCTATCTATCTACTATCTATCTATCTAGTCTAATCTATTCTATCTAATCTACTCCTATCTATCTATCTATCTATCTTATCTATCTATCTATCTATCTATCCACTATCTATCTAATATAATATATATTATATTTTATTGTACCTTGTAATATTTTATTTTAACAAATGCAGAGATTATGTAGCCAACCTTACATTTGGCCACCAGCTGCTTTAGTAAAGTGTATTTACTGTTATATTATAATGTTAAGAGTGTTCGTGAATCTATGTTTATTATGTGGTTAGGTGTGTTGGGAGTTGGGGTGGTAAAGAGATTCATGTTTGTCTATGAAGGTGGCACAGTATATTTTCTGGCTGAGCAGACATGCTGCAGCTTTATCTTTCCAAACAAAGAAGCACTTTCCTTCCCCTTCTCAATTCAATAGCTGCGTTCATGTTGGCAGCGATGTGGGAACGGCAGGCTGACCGCAGCACAGTCATCCCCATTGTTCTTCTTTATTTACTGGCACCCGATGGAAAATCAAGAAGTGTCAAAGCCACTGGTATATAATTAGTCTATCACACTCAATGCTGGTGAGACCGCAGAGTTATAATCATTATCTATGAGATTATGTTTGTGTCCTGGTTGAGAGCACTGTGGTTCTGCTATGTTTTTTAAAGTTTTTGTATTTATTTTCAACATTTTTACTCAATAAAGTAAATTTGTTTGCATTGAAGTTGCACACACAAATATTTTAAAATCTATTTTGTCTTCCTGGTTTTTCAGCTGAAACCTTTTTATGTTATAGAGTATGATTTAGCTGCATAATAGAGGTTAACTGATATTTCCTGGTCCTGTTATTAAGGTTGATATTGGTTTTATGGCTTGTTTGCTATAAGACTGAAATGTTTCTGACTGACCAGCAGACGGCAGGACGGAGCAGTAAACCAAACACATATCACATATCTTCCAAATTCCTGCCCGCAGGAGGAGGTCGGTAACCAGGGCAAATTTTTAACCGAGGTCCAGCTGCAGCCGTGGGGGTTGTAGACCAAATTGTTTTCCTGCAGGCTAAAGTTCCATTAATCGGATGTCTCTGCATTTTCTTTTCCTTCTGTCTCTCTAAGATCACTAAAGGTCTTTGAGCAGAGAAGGTGCTTCAGTAAAGAAAATAATTAAGCCAACTTACAGTATATCACAGTAAATTGTCATACATGTGTTATTAATTGTAAAATATATTACATTTATAAGTTTAAATTCTATGGTCTATATATGATAAATAACCACTGAGGAAAATGTTAATAATAATAATAAT